TTAAGCTTTGCAACTTCATCTGAACAGTCCTGGAATGTTATGAAAAATTTTTCAGAGTTTTGTCAATAGTTGTTGAAGCACACAGTGGAATTTGGATATGTGGGGGTATCTCAGGTTTATTCACAAAGGTGTTATCCAAAAAAAGTGGCTTTTTGTTTCTTTTTTAAGAGATGGCTAAATAAAAGTGATTAAAATAGAATCTGTGGGTCACAGTTAAGTGTATCACAGAAGGTTTTCACTTTGTGGCCAGGACACAAACAGCATTTCCCTCTCCCCCACCCACTTACAGCAATTACTTTTTCCAGAGTATAAATTATTTTAACTCTTTCAGCAATCCCTGATTAAGAATCCTGTATGGTTCCACTTGGAAAAAGCAAGAAAAATCACATTTTGTTCCTTAACCTGATGAAATGCTAAAGTGCTTTACATTAAGAAGAATTAGGCATTTAACTCATGAAAGACAAGCACAAAAAATATCCAAAGAAAAAGAGAATATAGTTTAAATCTCAGATAATTCTCCAAAGCCTTACCATGTGCTTGGCAGTGCTTCCACCAGGGCCAGTGTTTCGGACCAGATGCCCTTCAGATGGAAAATTAAAGTTGCCAGTGTTCAAGTTCTCCTTTGTGGAGTGGCTGCCAAACAGCACAAAGGGCTGCCTGCTCGGGCTGAGGAGGACACAGGGAATCAACACCAAAATACTTGCAGGAAGTTCACAAAAAACAAATGAAATCAAAGCTTTCAACTGCTGAATTTCCCATTGTAATAATTAAAAAAAATACTAAAGTTTCACAGTGAAAGGAGCAAGTTCAAAAGAAAAAATCTTCTCGCATTTATAAAATGATAATTTCTTTCAAATACAACGAACTTATCTCAAGGTTGTTCTCAAATGCTCTTGGAATATTCTTTTATCTTAAACTGCCTTGAAAAGCTGCTTAGTTTACAATTTCCTATCTTGAAAAGCCCTGAAAATGATTGTGTTGGAAACAAACAAAACTATTTTGGGTTTAGTTCTGGCTTTGGGCCCAAGACTCAGCTGGAGAGGTCAAAGATTTTCTTTTCTTTAATGCAAAGCAAACACCAGAGGATGCTGCCAGAAATAAAGGACATTAAATAAATAAAGGACAATAAATTCCACTGGTTTACTCCAAATTGAGGAGAATGTGCAGAGACTGAATTAACTAAATAAACCTTGATTGACTCACAACAGCACAACGTGGATTTTGCAACAGCTGAACAATTTTTGGTTAAAAGTCTCTCAGAAAGTCACAGAATGGTTTGGGTTGGAAGGAACCTTAAAAATCCTCTCATCCCAACCTTCCACTATCCCAGGTTGTTCCAAGCCCCATCCAAACTTTTCTAGGGATGGAACAAGGAAGGAACTGATCATAATGCACAAAAATTCATGGTATAGGTAAAAATTACAGCATTAAACCCTGGGAAAATTCAGCTTATCCTTCCAGGATGTGAAGGAATTTGCACAGGCTTTTTTCAGTNAAAGGAAGCAAAGCCTTTAATTGCTACAAATTTTCATGGAATCACAGGTAATAACTGCCTTGGTGTACTTTATGCACTTACCCAGGAAAGGAATGTGAGTGGCTCCAAAAAAATAGGTCCTTGAACAAGCCAGAGGTCCCTTTGGAGATACACACTGCACTACCTAGCAGTTGGTATTAATGAGATACAAAAACATCAGTAAAACAAATTGGTGCAATAATTAACAATTAACTACGTTCCCCTTAAGCCTTCTAAGCACTGACAGACTACAGAAGTTTACAACACAGAACTGGATGGTGAAAAAGCAACTTACGTTTTCAAAGGTCTATTTCACTTTTGACTTGACCTGAATGGTTGAAAGGCTTTGGAAAGGAGATGAGCTCTGACTTGTGTTTTCAATTTCCTATGCCAACTGCTCTTTTTTCATGAAGAGGAAAGTGGGTCAGGTTCCCATAACTAGGCTGGTCTTATTTACTATTTTCATGACACCCTATTAAAACAGTATCACCTGTACCTGGAAATAAACCACCTTTTTAAGAACAGCATCAGAATCTGAGGACAACAGATGGAGCAAGTACATCACAATAACACAGTACTTGCATTTTCAAAGGTATCTTATTGTTAACAAGGCAAGGAAAGACACAACTGAAAGTGTTTTCACAGAAATCATGTCAAGAGCAGCAAATGGAGGATGAGATTTCACCAAGATGCAAAAATCACTCTTTTTTTCTCAGGCTCTGCACACGTGATTTGTGCCTCACATCCATCCATCCCTGAGGCAGCTGCACATGAAATGCTGACAAATCATCAACTCATGGGCTCACTCATGCTCTCACATCCACCTGCCCAGGGCTCACAGCACCCCCAGAGCCCCTGGAGGCAGCAGGAGCTCCCTCCACACTCTACCTCTCTCCTCCTTCCTTCGCTGCCAAGTTGCCTTCGGGAGCCACCCAGCCAGAGGATCCCAAATCCCTGGGGTGATGGACCTGAGCACATGTTTAACCACCCAGCTTTGACTGGGAAATGGAAACAAGTTAATCATCTTTAAAAATCCAGCTTTTACTGGGAAATGGAAACAAGTTAA